GAAAGACGGACCCTTTCTGACATTTACAACTTGAAATGACGTGCTACGTCATTGCTGCAACTCGGCACTAGCATGGCTCTTTACTCAGCAACGGCTGTCGTTTACCCCGTTAAGCGAATTTGAAACTAACAGTGCACAAAGTGCTGGACAAAAATATAGTCCGCCAAAACCAGTGTCCGGGATGGTCTAATCGGTTAAGGCCTCGCCCCGCATTGGCGAAGGTTGCGGGTTTGATCCCCACTTCTGTCCCAATTTTTCGCCATCTCTCTTTTCCGCTCCCTTCCCTAACTCTTCGGCAATATATTTAATAATCACTGTCTCCCCTTTTGACTTACAATATATATGTGAGACAGAAATTCAAAGAATGTGAGCTACGAGGATTTCTATGAAGAGCGCCCTGAACAAGATGAACTATGGACGAAATTGAGAGACAGACGCGAGCTTATTCTTCTTTGCCCTGCCTCCAGCTCCGTCTGTGTTGATGGCGGTCAGACGAATTCCCCAGCCCGGATCGTGACGTTGTGGGACAGTGGCTGGCACAGAGGTCGGCATTGCTGCCGAGAGAAACTGAAGGTTCAGCAACATTTTTACTCTACGAGGCCGACAGCAGTTATTCGTCCAGCCATGTGTCTTCGCATTTGTCTTCTATGTCCTTGTAGCAGTGTTGCCAGATTGGGCTATATATAACCAAATTGGGCTACATTTTTCTCTATTGTGCGTCAAAACTTTGTAGTTGGCTATGTGGCTATTTTGGGCTATTTCTAAGAATGCGGCGAACTTTTGTTGAACCTCAAGTTCGACGTCGAACTTTGTGGTTCGGCTAGTTAATTTTCAAACTTTTGATCAGTTTCGAAAAAAAAAGGTTTCTCTTTCGGCTAGTCGAGAGGAAAGAGAGGAGCGAGAAAGGTTTCAAACTTCTACAAACTTGGGGGTTTTCACAATGCGCAGTGAAGCAATGCTTGCAGAGTTCATGCGGTCTCCCTACAGTGCAGTGGAGCAAACCAAACAGATTGCACTAACCTCAGGCCCGGTAGCGTGCCTTCTACCGGGACGCATATGGCTCTGCCCGGACGTAGACTGAACTGTCCAAATGCTGCTTTGGTGCCCATTGGGAGAATAGATATATGCACCCAAGTTTGTAAAAATGAGAAGTCCGCAGTCTTACCGCGAAACAATTGACTACCTTCCAGTCGTTGTCCACCCCAAGAAAGGACAACACAATCAAAAATAGCGTGAACATGAATGGGTGAAACTATAATACTTTACAACGAAAAAGAGTCGGGTGGGATATCAGTAAGGACCTCAGATATTGGGGTTCTGGTTTGAAATACATAGTGCTCTGACTGTTCTGTGTCTGTATTTTGTTCCTTTACTGTGTGATCATATCTCCCGGGCTTCACAATAAAGCTGTCTGTGTGTTTTGTACTTCTAAAAACCTACGAAGGAAGGCCCAGTTTTGTACGGATTTTCATTCTATCGAAGCTTTTCTTGAAAAATTCACAAGTAACATAATGTACTAAAAAGGAGGCGCATCTTGGGGTTGAAACAGAGATTGTAACGTGTATTGTATGAGTGAGAAATCGTCAATAAAAGGCTTAAAAATCATTGTTTTTAGTCTTGGCTATATTGGGCTATATTTTTTGGCGGCTTTGGCTATATTTGGGCTATACCTCCCAGTCGTTTGGCGGTTTTTTGGTGGGACCATCTGGCAACACTGCTATGTAGGTGTTTTCAGCTTAATCTCGTGTTTCTTTCACGCATCGGCCGTGTCGTCCTCGTTAAAGGGGAAAATGGGGCGAAGAGACGATGACGCTGGGGCAGTGGCGTGCCTGACCATCACGAGCCAAGCTCCGCGCGCACGCCCGGTTTTCATAAAATCCTTTTTATCTCATTGAGTGGACGCGTCATTGTCCTTTGCTGTCGACCGTACATCTTCGTAACATTATATATGCATATAAAAATCCGGTACCACTGTAGGCTGGAACGCCTTTCCGACTGGTCTGTTTAGCGTCCTACTCCACCGATGCATGGAAAGTGGTCCCGGAGTGACAACAAATGACGTCACAAAAGTCGGAATGTTGCGCCATCGGATTGCGCGACCCTGGCGTTTGGGCGGAGAAGTTCTCGAGAAAAAGAAATCCGAGAGAACGCGATGTGTCGCTGTCGGGACGTGCAACTCCTGGCTGCCGATGTTTCCGTGGACTGTCTAGCCGGAGAGCGACCTGCTGCGAAGCAGGCGTCTGCCGGATTCATTACCGCTGCAGTGACACCGCCACGATCGCGGTCGTCGACAACGTTACATTTCTATGCCGTCACCAGGCGGAAATGGAGGCACCACTTTTGTGGACGTGGTCAACACACTTGTCGGAGACATGTTCCGGGCATCATAGTACGACTGATACGAGGTGTTTACAATGTTTACAGCACACATGGCACAAATAACTACGAACGATAGAGCGAAGAAAACCCAAAAACACAATTTTCACAGAGACAAATAATGAACACCTAGCATTCATTGGCCCCGTTCCCTTTGTGTTTCAGAGCCAAAGTGTGTTTAGAGTGAATTGACCAGTGTCTGCTCAGTTCCATGGGCGCCGCCATGTTTGTTTATGCGGACGCCATAACAGAGTGGATGGTTCACTTTTTGCGGCACTCCGTTTCTTAGAAACCTTCGCACATATCGTAGAGCGAGAAAGTCAGAAATGCATAATCACGAAGCTCCAAGAACCACACCGATGCCAAGAGCGCCGTAAAAGGCAAAAACCTTGCTTTATACGCAGCCCTTCTGTTCACAAGAGCCTGCGTTTGAGATTATTTTTTCCAATCTTTAATTCTGGGGGTTAGGATTTCGGACACTGTTCTATACGTACGAAATAATGTTTCGCACGTAGAGTGACGAAGAAAATATAGGCTCAAATGAGGAGGAATTTAGAAATTGTAAGTTTGTTGCACATTTTTAGATTCGATAATTAACTGATGACGGCGGATTCTTAGTCTTCAAGTAGGGGGAATTACATCAAGTTATGGCGCAGCGCATGAGGTACTTGCGATTAGAAAAGGTTAATTACGCGTTGAGCGCATGACGCATTTTTTCGTTGTTGCGGTTGATCTAATCAGATTCTGAGTTTCGTCATTTGTTTGTATCCTTCTAGTGTTCGTCGTGTCATGGCTGTGTCCGTGTTTTACGGGGAAGTGAACTCACAGGAATTTTCGCGATTGCATAAGATATGTAGGGCGTGACTAACCATGCCCAAGCTTCTTATTTTGTGAATCATTTTTGGCCCTCATATCGGCTAATGCGTGAACCTGACTGTTTCTGAAATTTTGGAGCGATGATGATGCTCTGTATTCCTTAAGTTGTGAATGACTACAAAGATCCTTTGTTTTTTTTTGTTTGTTTTCCTTTTTTTGTTTCTTCCTTTTTTGCGGGAAATGAAACAAAGGCAAAATTTGGCTTGTCCATGGTGACAGCCAGCCGAGCCAATTAAGTTGTCGTTTACGTCTCCGCGGGACTCACATGCAACTGACAGTCGGTCAAGGAAGCCGCTTTCTTTCGTTGCCTTTCTCTAGTGCACGTCGCATGTTGACATCCATTCGATACCTATAACCTAACCTTGAGTCAACAGAATGCACGCTTGAGCTCGCGCCTTTTTGCATTCGTTTGCATCCACGACAGTGGACGTGCGTCATGCATGCTTCTTTGTATTCTAATTGTATTGTGTGTTGGGTAGCTGAGATCTAAGCGAGGATCGGCACGCTACGTCTCGTCTCTTGACGGGAAGGAAGCTACGCAAATTGTGATTTGGTTTGACGAGCTCCGCGGCTCCTCTACGTATACAAAACTACGAATGCTTGCAAGCGTGTCTTTTGCATTGAGGTGTACGCAAAGTACGTGCGTCATCTGTAGTTCTTAAACATTTTCTTGTTTGTTTTCGCTTTGCTGTCGAGTTTGACATAGAGCGTTCGAGACAAATGGGTCATAGTTTTGAACCTTCGAGTTCTAGAGCAGCGAAGTTCTTACCTGCAACCGGATATTTGTTTCAGTTTCTTTGTTACAAGCATCAATTAAAGAAAAGTAAAAAAAAATAAATAAATAAAAACTCCGTGGAGCATTGGCGTAATCTTTCAAGTATTAGAGAACAACAATTTTTGAAGGTTCCTGTGGTGGCCTTGTCATACACGGCGAGCATACAATATCAACGGTACAACGTGTAACGTGTTCTGAGGAGTAAAGTGTCATGTCTTTTAACAGGGGTCGCACTATGTTTGTCAAACTAAATTTGGTCTTGACGCGAACAGTGGAAGGGTTGTAATAAGAATAATATTCAAATTGTCTGCTTGTTAATGGCAATGTAATAAGCCAACTTTGTTTTTATCGCGTTAGAAAATTAAGCAAAGGAAAGATTTTATGAGACGCAAGTGGCCCCCGAGTAATTAACCAAATTTTTGCAGTAACGTCAGGAGTTGCTTGCAGGTTTGCGTGTTGAATAATGTCGTACACATGAAAAGTCAGTCTCGAAACGACATTAACCAAGGCATAAATGTACAAAAATCAAATATTGTATCGTTTCTTCACATTAATGACTTTTATTCCAAAACAACAGAGACTGAAGGACTGCACTATAGAAGTCGATGCAAAACATATTTTGCCAAAGCACCGGTCACAGTATAATATCGCAAATAGACCAGTTCTGGCTTAATATATCACTTAACCTCGATAACAGTTCAGCGTCAACACGTTCATGCAGAAATAACAATCAAGTTCGATCATCGACTTTTACACAGGCTTCGGAACTCCTCAAAATTTACACACCACTAAGTCCATGGTCCAAAGTCAACTTCCATATGCAGACACACACACGCAAAAAGAAAACGAAGACCACAAAGTCGTCTCCTTAGCTCACAGAAAGCTGAAAGCGGCAGCCATCACTCCTCGACGCTTTCCACGTCCACTGTGTCCCTTCCCTGCACAACCGAAGACGACTAACCCGAAGGCGATTTCAACCCTGTTGCTTGGAGACCACCTTCACATATTCCTTGTTGGGCAGTCGACTCCCGTCTCCCGTCCTCAGCTTCCTGCTCTCGATGATTTCCTTAGGGGTAGACTTGAGGTCGTACGCCTGTCCACACGCGGCCATGATGTCGATGAACATGGTACTCATGTTGAACTTCCATCCCAGCTCGCTTGTCGAGTAGTCCATGGGAAAAGTGTGGTGGTAGTTGTGAAATCCTTCGCCGACGGCGAAGAAGGACACCCAGGGCGTTTCGACGGGCGAGATGTCCTTGTCGAAGGGCTTGGTGCCCCAGAGGTGCGCGAAGCTGTTTACCGACCAGGTGAAGTTGAGCGAGAGCACCAGTCTGAGCATGGTGACCGTGAAGAAGGCGTTCCAGTACGACTCTCCCCAGAGGTAGTGAGGTATCACCGTCGGCAAGTAGAAGGAGAACAGCGTCACCAGGAGCATGTAGTACCTATGACGAAAACGCTCCCGGTAAATTACAGTTACTGAAAGCTCTGGAGACTAAGAGCGTGGCGACTCTCGAGCATCTCATTATCGCTCCTCGGCCAATGAGTCCAATAGCCAATAAGAACGTCGAAGTACCAATCACGAAGCGTAAGGATAATAAACCACGCCCCCCGCCTCTTTTTAATCTGTCAACGACTATACGCCAAACTGTCGAAGTGGTAGGGACGGTAGCCGCGGTACACGTCCTGATTGCGTAATTAAGCAACAAATTGGTCGACCGAAAGCTTCCACAACAGACCCCGAAAAAACCCTATTTCTTTATTTTATTTTATTTATTTTTTTGCACTCGCTAAAGTTTATTTAAGATACAGTTTCGCGTTAAAAGGATTATTTTCTATTCCAGAACGAATGTTCTGTCCTTCGCTCGGCGCCTGGGGAAAGTATAGATGCCCTTCGTCGGCTTGGCACGTAAACTAAACAAATTAGTTTGTGTAATCACTAAGGCGTGGCCGAGTTTACATACCCTGATTTAGCTGTCGACCTCATGAAACATATCTCGCTCGACGGCACCGAAAGGTGGAGCCAGATCTTTGTGACAGCCAGAAAACCAATTCCTGTCCCCCAACGCATTTCCCACTACCTTTCCTGAAACCAATCTTTCGTTCAATTTGTTTCTACTATAATATTGCTACAGCCAAAGTTGAGCTTGACTGAGACAATGGGTTATGTAAAGAAAAAATGAAAATAAAAAAATGCTCTGGATGGGTTTCGGAGATACCCACTATAACAAGGTACTTATATGGGCCAGTTGGTACGCCTCGCAAGTTTACGTCTCCTGTCTTTTTAGAGCTTCTTGACCCAATTCTTGCATATTTCCCCTCAAGATCTGCTGACGGAAGGAGCATATTTAAAAGAAAAAAACAAAAACAAAAACAACATCAAAACACAAAAAATGTCGCGTGAAGAAACGATATTTTTGCTTCCTCAAATAGAAAAATATATTAACATGTTAAACTTCGAACACCAAAAAACAAAATCACGACGGGTGTAAAACGGAAACACGAGCTACAGGATTCCGATAAATAAAAACTCAAAACTAAAAAAAAAAACACACACACAAAAAAACGACGTGCTTTAATGAACAACAAGCAAGAATGGAACGAGCTGATATGTAAATCGAACATAATTACACAGAACCCCGAGACAGCTGCGAGAGAGAGACAGATTAAATACGAAGTCTTTCAGACTTCGTGCTTGTGCTGTCGTCTCTTGCCTCAGTCCCGTGGTTCTCTGTAATTACGTTCCGACGTACCTCATCTGAAACCTGACCACGGGGTCCGCCAGGACGTCGCTGCAGTCTATGGCCTTGCCCTTTTTGGTGACTAGCGGGTGCTTCCTAAGGAACAGCCAGCCCACGTGGGCGAAGAAGAAGCCACGGTTCACGTTGTGCGGGTCCGCGTCCGTCTCCGAGTACTTGTGGTGCACGCGGTGGTCGCGGACCCACTCGTGAATGTCGTTCTGCGTAGAGAGTTTCCCTTAGCAACACTCATTCAACGTGCAACATATTCACAATGTCGGCAGGGGCTTGGTTTTTCAACTTACAACATTCACATTGATACAAACATGCGGGTGTCAGTATCCTGTTGTCACTTTGTCTCTGGGCATAAATTTGCTCCTGTGCTTGTATTGTTTGGGGTGTGCTTTGCAGCGCAGGTTCTAACATGAAAGCTGAGAGCAATTGAAAAAAGTTAATATAGTGTGGACTCAAAATCCACGGCGGGAGATCGAGCGAAACATCGGACCCACGACGGATGCGAAAAACACTGGTTTCCCCCGCGGCATCTTTTAAAATTTGTAAGTCGAGAACAATAAATCCGAGGAAATTGCGGTTTGTGGCTACTGCGTTTTTAGAGACGACGCCATAACATATATTTTTTGCAGCGAAATTAAAAATTCGACTCTTTTTGCCTGCACGATTTAGATGAAATCACCCATATATAAATATATATATATATATATATATATATATAGGACCAGCACCTGGGGTAAAAAGAAGGAACTCGAGAGAAATATATTCCGAAAGATGTTTGCCCTTAAGGAGATGGTCTTCCGAATCGAGGAGAGAGCCGCCAAACCTACCGGGCTCAAAACGTATCCGCACACAACCTTTTGGCGACTCTCTCCTCGATTCGGAAGACCATCTCCTTAAGGGCAAATATCTTTCGGAATATATATATATATATATATATATATATATATATATATATCTAACGGGAAAATGTTTCCGCTAGACTTAGCGGGGAATTTTTTCCGCTAAATCTAGCGGAAAGAATTCCGCGCTAAATCTAGCGGAAAAATTTCCCCGCTAGATATATATATATATATATATATATATATATATATATATATATATATTTATATTTATATGGAAAGCCTGACAGAAGGAAGCATCAGGAAAAACAAACGAGAAACCCACAAACAACTACGCATGGCAGTTGGTAAAACGAATTGGACAACGCGGAAGATTTCTTTCGCGCCATTTTTTTATTCCGAAGTTCGTGCGAAGAGCTGTCGTCACGGAGAAAGTTCGTTGCGTTTCGATAACTGCGCGCCTCGTTGGCAACCGAAGCAAACGTGATTTCTCGGCTTTTTTTTTTTTTTTTTTGTCGCGCGCTGAAGACTTAGTGCTCCTTCTCACCTTCATTAATCACAAATGAGTGTTTAGGCATGTGTGCGGTGAAGACACTGATCACCTTGACTCGCCGACTGACGGCAAGACCGGTCTGGAGACGTGCGTTGAGGGAGCCGGCTTGAAATACCGCAGTGTCCTCAAATATTTGCCTAAGGAGAAGACACTGCCTTCTTCTCCGCAAGCACAAATCACGCGTTTCCTCACCCCTCGCTCCAACTTCTTACGTTTGTTTGTGCCTGTGTGTGAGCAGGTGACTCAGCGACACGCACAAGGTAAACTTTAAGCTGGAAGATGTCTTCGAATGCCGCAGGGCGACGGTCGCGCACAGTTGTCAGGTGCGTGACGTATGGACCAAGTTCTCGGAACGCTTCGGTTCGCCGAGGAAACGCGGACGCGAAAAATCTAATTCCGTACCCGTGCTTGGACAGCTTTCTGAAGCAAGCTCGTTTAATAGCCTTACTAGACTGTCAGCTGCTTCCAGACTGGGTTCATGTGTGGTCTTCTTTAGTTTTATGCAGCCCTCTATTGCCAGGTGAGAAAATAAATAAACATTTTCGGCTATTTTAGCGTTGTTTTGTTCGGGGCGCAACTTTTTGCATAGTTTTTGCGGCGGCCTCGAATGAGGAGTTTTACCTTCATCCGCAGTTCCAAAGCTTTATACTTTAAATTTCCTTTAAAAAGCGTTCATATGAATGCCAAGCTCATGCGTAGTGAATTCGGGGCCTTGCGTTGGATCCGCCTGAACTAAATAAACAAAAAAAAATCTCTACATCTTCACGCATCATACGACTTACACGTGTATTACAATTAATACTATATAGTCCACAACTGTCAAAACGTAGAAGAGACAGAAAGTATACACGACGACTTTTCCTGTCTATGTTTTGTCTCTTCTACGTTTTGATTTTCTTCTCCCAGTCTCAGGTTAATTCAACATGGTTAATATTCACCATCCTGAACAAGAACAACAATGTGTAAATGGTAAGGAGGTATGCTATATTCGTCTGACTATGGTAGTCGGAATGCTAGTCACTCACTCTTACACGGCAACGCCATTATATTGCGGTATCTCTGAAATGATAACCCTTCCGTGCTGACGTATTATATTTCAGTATATAACCTGTGCTTTCGGTTCCGTTCAAGCATGCCCTCGTATCAGTCTCATTTTTATTTATATATTTTTTTTAATTTTTGCGGGCACGCGCGGAAAGTTGCTTTCCTGGAAGCCTGCGTGCGCCGTATTTTCCAGCTGGAGCCGATCGAAAACACGACCGCCTCGGTAAAATGCAGCTGGTAGGTGTAATGAACTCGATCAGGTGGTATTCACTGACATGCTTGATAATACGTGGTCCCTTCTTTCCTTTTTTTTTCTGTTGTTTGTTTGTTTGGCATTTAAAGACCTAAACATTTCTTAAAAAAAGAAAAAAAGAAGAAAAACGAGTTAGGGGTCTATTTTGGCGTATTTTTATTCCTTTGAATCTGAATATCACGCTCGTTTTCCCCGATGAAGTAACTAAACGCGAGAAAACTCGAAAAACCTCCAACCGGTCGTGACGTCATCCTAGGACTTCTGGGGCTCCATGCGTGTGTCGCTCGTGTGCCAGGTTTTTCCCCCCACACTAACACCAGTCGTGACCTTTTTTTTTTTTTTTTTTTTTTTACCTTTTTGAAAATTGCAAGAGTTCGTGTGCAATTCGCGTTGATAGGCGCTGAAGATGCGCGAAAGCGGAGGTTCCGAAAACTCCTTTTATGACGCTTTTATGGGCTTCAGTGGTACTTTGAAAATGATTTTTGAAACATAATCTCAATATTCATATTCCTGGAGGCCAATTGAAGACAATATAGGCGTTTTTCCTCAAACACAGAAGCGCTTCAGTTTCCCTTTAATCCTGGACTCAAGGCGGAGGCAAAGCCGTCGGGGTTATCAGCAAATGGTCCGAAAACGGCTGTTATCGAGCTTCCTTAGTTCAGCACCAAATACACCTGTAGCGTCGAAGGCCCCAATAGAAATCAATATTCAAAGAAATGTATAATGAAATATTTCAGACACTTAAATACGCTATCCGGAAAAAAGGCTAATACGTTTAAGATTACTTCGGACGGCAGTGCATTCGAGAAAAGTATAATCCTCGTTTATTTGAACTCGAAATGAATTGAACAGTAACGTCAAAAACACCGTTACGTTCCCGACTGCCCACCAAATAAAGCCCTACCCCTTCCCCCCTCTTCCATGTTATTATCTATGGACACTTTATTAAAAACAATAGCAGAAATCTTAGGAGTTTAGTTGCAGGATTTGAGTAATTGTTTACCAGAGACGTTCCCCTTGCTCCGTCGCCTTTATGTTGGTACAAACAAAGGAATTATTTAATCCAGGTAAGTACTATTTTAGCATTAAATGCTCCTAAGTAGACGTCTAGGCTGCCTCCGAAAGTTAGATTGATATTCATATAATTACCTCGAAAAGTAGTTGATTTACATAACGATCTACTCCTGAGAGAGGAAAAAAAAATTAACAGCGACATTTTCCTCCAAAGTGCTACATTCCATTAAATGAAATATTTAATTAAGGAGCGATCGTTTAAATTTGTTAAGTAGACATTGAACAGTAATTTCGGGTAGTGAAGAAAATTTTTATTTACGATTTAAATGCTAAATCTAGCCAAGAAACTCTCATGGTACGAAAGTCACGTGACATCAGTTTTTCCGCTGAATTTAGCGGGGGTCTAATCTGGCGTATAGGGCACCTGACGGCACGTCACGTTACGTCGATTTTACCGCTAAATTTAGAGGAAAAACTGATTCGGTTCTAGGTCTCGCGGCGTAAGATTCAGATCATTTGAAATCAATATCCACGCCTAATTTAGTAGGAAAAATGAAGTGCCAAATAGACCCTTTGATTTCAATTTTCCAGCTAAACATAGCGCGGAAGCTGAATTAGTGTTTAGGTAACGCGAGATATCAATTTCCCCTCTGCATTTAGCGGGAAATGAAAGGACGGACGGACGAACGGACGGACGGAGAAACTTCTGTACTTGTGGGGAGTTCCCTTCAAAAGGCAGGCACTATTTCATCACTGACAAGCAAACAAATTCAAAGCGTGGCTTATCATGTGCGCACTTCTTGCTTCGTGATTGGTTCCTCTGTGTTTTTCTCCGGTAAACCTGCAATCGTATTGGCTGCGTACCGCTAATGAGATGCTGGGGACTCGTCACGCGTTATGTGACATTGTCAACGACGATAAACACTTATACATGCGAAAGTATGATTACTACCGAGAGGGAATACACCACGTTGACTAGTTGTCAAATTGCGCGTCAGAGCCCTATTAAAAAAAATGATTCCATATGCATCCATGCAACCCATCTCCCCTAATACCGTATGAACAATCCATATGACATATTATATATGGACATTTCTCCGTGAAGAACGCAAAGTTCACTGCGATGTTTGGCCATGGCTATAGCTACCACACTTTAAAGGGATACTTTAACAAAATTTGAAATATACCAGTCGTGTTCAAAAATAGGTTAAATATGAGCCACAATATCCATAAATGTCCATCGCACGTTTGTATTTTGAGCCTGGTGGCTGTATTTTTTGTTATAAACGGCCCACTCTGGCAAGCGCTCGGAGAACAGCCTGTGGAGACCACGGGACATCCAACGCAATCGTGACGTAGTTCGTCTCGGGACGAGCAAAGCAATGGCGAGGCTGACGTCGAGAGGATGGTACCTAGTCGTTCCAGCCACCGAAGCGGCTGCTTTTGTGCAAATTTTAAGTGACGCGTTAATCGTCTATAATCTTGTAGAGGGACAATAGTGAA